GTACTCGACTGTACTGATTTTTACTCGACCAGTCTGAATTGGTCTGAATTTTACTTGACATTACTAGACCCCAGTCTTAACCATACTCGACTGTACTGATTTGTACTTGACCCTTATCTTTGCCATTGAAAATAGTCTGAACCATACTCAACCAGTCTGAAACAGTCTTAACCCATTCTCGACCTGTACTCGACCTATTTTTTTCAGTCTAAACCATACTCGACCAAAGGTCTGAACAATACTCGACCAGTCTAAACCATACTTGACCAAATAACCTCTACTTTTTCTAAATTTTAACTGTTAAAATAAATTTCTTTTCAACTGACATGACAACAGCCACAATAAAATAAAGATATATTATAAAAACAGTTTTTTTACATTCTTACATGATTCTCAGATTTATAGAAGAGATAGTTAAATCAAATTATCTTATATAATAATTTAATCATATTAATTTTAAAGTTTTAGAGTTTTTTCTTTTACCTAAAAACCACACCTATACTGAGGGTAATTAAACCTTATTAAGGTGCTTCTTGTTTGGCATGTGTTTTTTTTTTTAAATTAATTTTCCTAAATTCCTAAATAAAAACTACATAGGTTTCATGGTTACATACAAAAAATGTACAATAGTTATATAATTATCTTTTTAATGAGATAAGAACAGCCAACAAAATCACTGAAATTGTTTATTAGAAATATATCTATTATTATAATTTGGGATATATTATATACAATATAAAGCAAAAAGGGATAAAAATTAAAGAAATTAAAAAAATTGTTCTTCTGATTAGTGGTGAAGTATAAAGTAATACCTCCTGCTTTTTGGCAAACTCATGAAAAAGATCACACCTGGTCAGAGAGTATTAAATTCTAAATAACATTCATTCAAAATTGCAACATCCTGTGAAACTTAAATCGCAAGGCCTTTTGAATTCACTAGATAAGTAATACACGAGTTTAAGAAAAATAGGGCTTTCTTTTTACCTGTAAAACACACATGTACTGAGGTAATTAAACCTTATTAAAGTGCTTCTTGTATGCCATGTCTTTAATTTTGACAAAAATTATTTAAATTTAATTGAAATAAATTTTTACTGTAACTTTGGAACACATTTCCTTTTTTAAAAGTTTATCACAGGATTATTATGGAAGTTCTATTATCATGATTATATTAAATTCTTGGTTTAACAAAACAAAGGTGTCATTTTTTAAATTTATTAAGTTGCTTTATATGCTATTTTATATATATTTTAATAAAAAAAATGTTCACTGCATTATTAACTAAACTCATGTGACACCATAAATCTATACGAGGCTTAAGTTTATGGTGAAAATTGTCCAGTAACCATAAAATATATCTGAAACATTCAAAAAATTTTGAATAACATTGAAAATATTAGTCACAATTCAGTTTTGAGATTATTTGATCAGCTTGTTATATTTTTATTTTAAAGGTGATAGATATATATGTATGTATATAAGATTAGTGTTGATGAAAATGGTGATGAAGTTATATTATGTTTATTGTGAAATTTTGGTTTCAATGCTATATTGAATACATTTTTAATTTCAAATTCTTGTTCAAATTTCTAGCCAGGGGGAATAGCTGTTGTTAAAAACAGTTCCTAAATTGATGAAATACAAAAGATATATACAAAAAATAGGTCTAGGTTGGTTAAGACTTGGTCGAGTATGGTTCAGACTAGGTCGAGTATGGTTCAGACTAGGTCAAGTATGGTTCAGACTAGGTCGAGCATGGTTCAGACGCGTATAAAATGGTTAAGTACTGGTCGAGTAAGGGTCGAGTACAAGTTCAGACTGTTAAGTATGGTTCAGACTACAGTCGAGTATTATCAAGTAAATTTCAGACCAATTCAGACTGGTCGAGTAAAAATCAGTACAGTCGAGTACAGATATAGGCCATTTCAGACTTTTACTGGTTTGTAGTGTATGTAGTTTAAATTGGGCTTTGAACAAGCTTACAGTAACTGTGAGATTTTTTTTTTTTTAAATCTGTAGTATAGACAGAACATATCAACAATTGATCAGTTTAATGGTACAATCATGATATTGCTTTCATAATTGAAATCTCTATATATATTGTTTGCTTTGAAAGACACCATAGATCTCATATGCTCGGATTGGAAGGCCAGTAGAAAGAATAGCAACTCTTGATATTTTTAAAAGTTAGAAGAAAAATTCATGCAAGATCGATCAATTTCTCCCTTTAATCAAATTCATACTTTAAGCAATATCTATTGTTTAGTTTAGTAAACGCATACATAAAAACAACTTCAACTTAAAATGATAGATTATAATAAGGGCAAAGGGTTTCTTAAAAATGACAATTTCAACATGCACCGAGCTTTTTCAACCTGCATGTTTACATATCAGATCACAGACGTTAAAAACAGATTTGTCAGTACTTTACAGTGTGTCACGGTTATAAAAGCCTTATATTTTCACAGCACTTTCCAAAATAATACAGAAGTTACTAAAAATAATTGCGAGTAATAAAACTAAAGGTCAACTCATGGAAATCGTTTTATGTCCGTATCAGACAACAAAGCAACAAACGACTTGTGTGGTAGCGCTGTGACTAGGGATCTGACTTATAATAAATCTAATGATGAACAGCAATAATTGCCATTTTCATGATTTTAATACTTCAGTTTTACAATGGATCTTTTATACTAAACTATGACAAAAGAGATGATTTTTGACTCCCTATTGCACTTTTTTTTCTTTTTTGAATGTTGGTGTTATTTTGAATCCTTTTTTTCAGATTGAACCTATTTATTTCCCAAACTCGTTCTCTTTGACCGTAGTGACATTTTGGATTTCAATCAACATATTCTGTGTTCTCAAATTTAATTAAAAACTTGATTAAAATTCATTCATATGTACAGATTTGATTTGGAATTTTTGCTGTAGCTGCAGATTTCTTTTTACAAAAGGGAGATCACATCCTAACTTTTACGGTAACGTTATTTATTGAGCTCGTAGATTTAGATAAAAGCTAAGTTTAATACATAATTTCACATTTTTCTTAACCAGTTATCAATTATAGCCTTGCATCCTTTCGATACTTATAAATTATGGTACTGCACAAGCTCGGTGTGTTATTTTTTCAGAATGCCTTTGGCGTCTTACAATAAATTCGTTGGAGGTGTATTTAGTCGGGAGAACGTGGGTTACTTATTAGTTAAAAGATCTTTAAAAAAACTAGATACATCAGTAAAAGCAAGTACTCTTTGATTGGTACTTTCTGTCTTTTAGTTAGTTGTTTTTGTTGAGTATCGATCGGATTTTTCACGCTCTTTCTATTCGATTATAGTTTTCTTAAAAATTTTTCCTGATAAATTTGGCAAATTTTTTATCGTAGTTTTTTGGTGGATCAGAAAGATGTGGAATCTTCAGCAAACTTATATAACAATTATAATATAATTATTATTAACAATGAAATGTATCCAAAGGTTCAACTTGAATCTTTAGGAATCGCTGCTGCCGTGTTTGCATAGTTTTACCTTGACATTAACTCAAACATCGTCGGTGATGCGAGTCAGTAATTCTGACTTGTACATGCATACTTCTACACGTAAATTATTACTTTGCAAATGTTATACTCACAGAAATTGTTGATATCTATCTTTTCAAGTAGTGAAAGGGATATACAGGATTCTTGATAATGAGTTAAAATGTCTCTTACTTTTGAAGACCTTATTCTAGCAGAATTTTGTACTTTTGTGAATAGATGGGTGCATTAAAACATTGCTGTTTCCTGATAAACTGAGTCCCAAATTATCAATCACTTGATGATTTTATTATTTTAACTGCTTTTCTGGTATCTTAGTTTATTTTACACAAATGACAGCAGCAGATTTCTACAGACCAATATCACACTTATAATAATTCTACATGCAAAAGCCCTTCTATATAGTCTTCTCGGTATAAATGTTGATTGTGTTATCAATTAATTAAAACACAACTAAATATTATTGCTATACAGCTTTTGACATTCAAGGTCCTATATTCTGACGATTAATGACATATTTACACTAAACCCATCGCATGTGTACTGACTGACATTCAAGTCTTACGTACTTGATTTTGTCATGTAGTTATTTGCTTTGCTTTGATTTGTACCATGTGTATTTAGTGTTTTTGTGCTTTGTATAAATCTGATGAGTCAAACCTTTTTCAGCTGATATTTATAGTGTGTTCATATGTTGTGCTGTTAAACCACTGTACCAGGTTAGGGAAAGGGTTTGGCGCCAGCAAACATGTTAACCCTTCTATATTTTGTATGTATCTGTTCCAAGTCAGGAGCCTGGAATTGGGTGGTTGTCGTTTGTTTTTTTCGTTTTTTGTTTTGTACATAAATCAGGCCATTAGTTTTCTTGTCTGAATTGGTTCATATTTGTCAGGATGTGAATTATTATAGCTAGTTATGCAGTACAGCTTTTGCTCATTGTTGAAGGCCATACAGTGATTAATAACTGCTAATTTTTACGGCAATTGGTCTCTGGTGGATAGTTGTCTTGTTTGCAATCATTCCACATCTTCTTATTTTTATATTAAAATACTCATAAAATACTATTAATATTTTTTATTGTTTAAAACGATGTCTTCTTTTTACGTCAAATCTTTTGTAAATTTTGATTTACATAGGAACTATTCATGCAAGTGTATTAATTTCAAATTTTAATCAATTCAGCTCCATTTTATTTAATAGGAAAATTAGATGGAAGGTTGGTGGTAAATGATTAAATTTGTGTTTTATATACTATGGTTTTATTCTATATGGCTTCCATGCAGAAATCTGTTCAATCTTAAAATACAGAGTTATGAGCTTGCTGGCTTAATAATGGCATTAGATTTGTTACACAATGGCTGTTAGAATACAGCTATTCTGTGTTTTGTAAAGTAGATGGTGAATTGATATATTACCTTGTTCTAATGGGATCATGATAAAACAAGGTAGTGAAAAACTGAAAAAGTTTATAACAAATAGTTTTTATTATTAATAATAATCAAGCAATTAGAAAATAATATAACAATAATGGTCGTATAAATTAACAATACAAATGCTATTTCTGTCCAAAATACTGAACTAACATCTGTACAGAAAAAAATATCACACAACTTTTCTATCCTCATCCATATGATAAAAAAATAATGATTTCCTATTTTACAGTTGTTGTTAAGTTCATATGATTCTCTATCTCGCACCTCCACAATACAATCACATGACTATCACCATTACATTATATGACCCTTTGATCAAGTACTTAATTTATCAATGCCATAATGTTTAGAAAAAAAATATTGTTTAAACATGTAACATGATAGTTAATATCATAATAGCTATAATTTCAAACCAATCAGTATGTACATGACTGTCATTCTAAAGAATTGATTTAAAAGAAAATGTCAAATCAGTGGTCTTTAAAACAAAGCAGTTTTTCTTAGATATATATATAATTATGTATGACAATATTCTGATTCTATATTAAATTTTTTTGATCAGCTGTTCTTTTAAATTACAAACCTATTATTAAACTCCAATGATTTCAAATATGGTACTTGATTTTATTTTTTTAATCTAATTAGTCAAGACTATTTAGTACATAGTCTGTACAACCTTTGGCATGTATTAACTATACTATCCACATAAACTATCTATAACTGGATTACACATTCATTCATAATTAACAATAAAAATTCAATTGACTATATATTAGTATTACAAAGCACTATTAACTGACCAATCAATTGCACATTTCCACTTCACCATACTTAAACATTTTACATACAACCATATTCTTCATACTAATATCCTTTAATGTATAAGAAAGTAATCATCGCGGGCATGTCTTATAGGAGATTTGAACACAAGTCACACTGCTTGCATAAAATTATAGCCTCAAGCATTGCTTCATTAGTGAAGGTTAAATTTTAGCAAATGAAGCATTTCCTGTGTTAAGATCTCCCATCAACCATTTTAATTATGTTACGCTTGTCAAGTTGTCTGAACAAAATCATTGTGTTTATCTGTCAATTGACAATTCCCTCCCTAATCCCAATTATCGTCACATGTCATGGTCAATGCTTAAATATGTTGGAAACAGTTTGTTCAAGCATTTTTTTAAAATAATACAGGGTTATTACATGAAAATTGTCCCAAGTAGATTTATATGTTGCACAAGGTTGCGGTAGACAATATTCAAATATATTCATGCAATAACCCTTTTAATGTAAAGAAAAATTTAAACAAACTGTCTCAAACACATTTTTGTCACTGATGAACATGATATTTTGAAGCTATATTTGCACTTCTGCAATATATATAGAATAATGACATTCTTGGTTTTTGATACTGACTTAATCAGCAAGAATATCAAGCAAGAGAGCAGATATTCCAGCTGATATTCCAGCTGATGATTTAGTATCAAAAAGTAAAATGCCATGTTTTTTTGGTTAAGATGATATAGTTTATCAAGAATTTCTTAGATTTATAAGTGTCTTAATAAATATACATACACTTATTACTCAAATCAAAATAATTAACACATGATTCCTTTTGAAACCTCATTCTTACAGAACAAATATTCTACCCATAAAATGCAGATACTATAAGTATCAAATAAGCTATTACTTACATGAAGTAAATAAAATATTTTGTAAAAACAAATAAAATACATATACCATTAAATGGTAAAAAGCTGCCTGAGTTTTTGCTGCGTCATTCTAATGTTAGTACAAAGCACTTAAGTGTGATTTCATAATTTTTGGTAAAGGGAGACAATCCACACAGTCATTATAAGCCTCATTATATGCCAGTCGACGTTTAATAGCCTGGAAGCACTTTTCTTGTAAAGACAAGTATCGACATCCTCTTGTTCCCAGACCTAGCTCTGATTCTGATGCTGTGGAGCTTACAATTGGATATAAAGGTTCTCCAACTTGGTCTAGTCCGGTAAAGGCTATGCCCAAGCTTTGACCATTGCAGTAAAAGGTTAAAGTCCCTGAGTACAAGTCTAACTGGCAAGTTATAATGGTGGTCTTGTCAAAGAATGGTTGGCAAAATTTCTTACTCTGACCATTGTGCCAGATTTTCCCCTTGTATGATAATCCCCAGCTTTGTGAATCCATACCTGCAACAAGACATTTAAAAGTAACACATATTCTTCCGAAATATCACATATGTATCCTCTGACAATTAATACAAAGGGCATTACCGTAGGGGTTAAGATTAATTACTTGACAGTACTGAGGCAACACTAAATAAGGATTAAATTGATCCCTTTACCAGACAGGGGCACTACTTAAACAATCTTATTTTTTGAATAACCTACATACATGCGAGTTATTTTGTAAGAAAATATATCAGTCAATGCATCATCGGTGCTGCAATCCAGCCAATTTTGAGCTTGTCAGACATTTTTTCTGATCCAATTTTCAATATTTTTTTCATTATACCAACTCCTATAAAACATTTCAAGACAGCCATCAGATTATAAGATGGGAATTGCTGAACAATGATGCACAATCCTTTTGATATTCAATAGAAGGTGAGCTGATTTTTCACAATTGCTTTATAAATATATATTCTACCACTGTATCGAGTGTTATACAATATTTCTCCATTCTAGACTGTTAAATTTTCTAATTTAAAACATGATTCTAGAGTGGAGAAATATCCTATTGCACAAGATTAAGTGGTAGATTCTGTTTCTATAGTAATTTTTAGATGATATTCAGACAAAACTAATCCATCTTTTCCAATGATCTACAAAAAAATGTTTTCTTTTTATGTAACGTCATCAGACATTGTGGCCTTTTTTTAGTGACATCACAATAGGAAATTCAGAGGAAAGCAAGATAATTTGATGTCATCATTGAATTTTTACCAATGAAGAACTGAGATCAAACAACCATATGTTGATTAAATCACCAGGTCAGGAAAAGGATAAATCAGCAAAGAACAAGTGAAACTGTGAGCTACTGCTCACTGATGATACCCCCGCCCAAATACTTGACGGTAAACAGGAAGTTGTTGAGTGATGAATCTGAAAACACATTACATGGTATAGCTGACTTATATAAACCCTGAAACCAAATTTCAGAAATCCTTATGAGGTAGTTCCCGAGAAAAATGCAACGAAAAAATATTCATGGGACGGACGGACGGATGGACAGACAGATGTAAAACAGTCAGTGATATTGTTGTCTTTTTTCATAACTACCTCTACCTTTTTTGGGGGGAAAAATGCATCATTTTTTTTGAAAATTTGGAAGTTTTGAATAAGAATTTTTCACGTAATATTTTAAATTGTGAGACATTTTCAACCGGAAAGGAACTTTTTGGGGAGGGGAAAAAACGGAAATAAAATGCTTCGCTGAGTGCAGCCTGATACGACTGCAGAGGTTGAACCCTGAACAGTTGGGGCAAGTTTGGACACAATATTCAAGCTTGATACTGTCTGAATTTGGATTGTGATCAAATTTTGACATAACACAAAATAAATGTGGTCATAGATCTTAAAAACTTGAAATGGGACATTTAATTTACCTAGAATGGTCTGATATCCAAAATCTAACAACATGGTTAGATTAAGCATATAAAAAAACACCAATAATTTAATTTTAGTTGAAATCAAACAAAGTTTAATTTTGGACCCTTCAAACCTTAATATGAACTAATTTGAAAACAGGGCCCAAAATAAAAATCTAAATGCACAATAAGATTCAGCAAATCATACAGCTGCAATAATTCAGTTTTTGATGAAATCAAACAAAATTTAATTTTGGACCCTTTTGACATCAATGTAGACCAAAAAATGGGGTCCAATATCCATAAAAATTATACAAGGTTAGAACCCCCAAAAATCAAAATTGGTTAAAACATTTGTATTTGTTGTCAATTGACTATTTCTTGCTAGTGCGCAATACTGTGCAATTGTAGACTTCTTGCTATTGTGCAATACTGTGCAATTGAAGATTTTTTGCTATTGCGCAATACTGTGCAATTGAAGATTTCTTGCTATTGCGCAATACTGTGCAGTTGAAGATTTCTTGCTATTGCGCAAAACTGTGCTATTGTGCAATAGAAGATTTCTTGCTATTGCGCAATACTGTGATATTGCACAATACTGTGCTATTGCGCAATACTGTGCAATTGAAGATTTCTTGCTATTGCGCAATATTGTGCTATTGTGCAATACTGTGCTATTGCGCAATACTGTGCAATTGAAGATTTCTTGCTTTTGCCCAATACTGTGCTATTGTACAATACTGTGCTATTGCGCAATACTGTGCAATTGAAGATTTCAAAAATTTTGAAGAAAAAGAAAGAACCCCCCCAAAAATATTGGAAAAAAAAATCCCCCCAACTTTTTGAACCCCCCCCTTTTAGAGTAATTACCCCCAAACTCACTCCCAGCCTTCTCTTTATGGTATGGAACCTTGTAGTACAATTTTAGAGAGATCCATACACTTGAACACAAGTTATTGTCTGGAAACTAGAAAAATGCTTATTTTTGGCCCCTTATTCCTAAACGTTTTGGGCAATTACCCCCAAACTCAATTCCAGCTTTCCCTTTGTGTTATGGAAGCTTGTAGTACAATTTCAGAAAGATCCATTTATGTACACACAAGTAATTGTCATGAAACTAGAAAAATGCTTGTTTTTTGCCCCTTTTTTGGCCCCTAATTCCTAAAATTTTGAGGCAATTACCCCCAAAATCAATCCCAGCATTCCCTTTTCTGGAAGTAACAAAAATGCTTATTTTTGGCCCCTTTTTGGCCCCTAATTCCTTAATTGTTAGTACCATAACCCCCAAAATCTGTCCCAACCTTCCTTTTGTGGTATTGAACCTTATGGTAAAATTTCATAGAGATCCATTCACTTAAACTAAAGTTAGAGTGCGAAAACCAATGTGTCTTCAGACGACGACGCCAACGTCATACCAATATACGACTTGTTTTTGGCCCCTTATTCCTAAACTGTTAGTACCATCACCCCAAAAAATCAATCCCAACCTTCCTTTTGTGGTATTGAACCTTCTGGTAATAAAATGATTCGCTGGGGCGCAGCTTGATACGACCGCAGAGGTCGAACCCTGAACAGTTGGGGCAAGTATGGACACAACATTCAAGCTTGATACAGCTCTGAATTTGGATTGTTATTAAAAATTTGACACAGCATAGGTTTCTGACACAGAAAGAATGTGGTCTAAGAACTTGAATTTTTTTAATTTACCTATTATGGTCCAATGTCCAAAATCAAAATACATGGTTAGATTCAGCATATCAAAGAACCCCATATATTCAATTTTTGTTAAAATCAAACAAAGTTTAATTTTGGACCCCAACTTGGACAAACTTGAAAACTGGGCCCATAATCAAAAATCTAAACACATGTTTAGATTCAGCATATCAAAGAACCCCAAGAATTCAATTTTTGCTAAAATCAAACTAAGTTTAATTTTGGACCCTTTGGACCTTAATGTAGACCAATTTAAAAAACGGGACTTAAAATTAAAAATCTAAATACACGGTTAGATTTGGAATATCAAAGAACCCCAATAATTCAATTTTTGATGAAATCAAACGAAGTTTAATTTTGGACCCTTTTGACCTCAATATGAACAAATTTGATAGGGGGGCCCACAAATAAAAATTCTAAATGCATGGTTAGATTCAGCATATCAAAGAACCCCATATATTCAATTTTTGTTGAAATCAAAAAAAGTTTAATTTTGGACCCCAACTTGGACCAACTTGAAAACTGGGCCCATAATCAAAAATCTAAACACATGTTTAGATTCAGCATATCAAAGAACCCCAAGAATTCAATTTTTGTTAAAATCAAACTAAGTTTAATTTTGGACCCTTTGGACCTCAATGAAGACCAATTTAAAAAATGGGACCCAAATTAAAAATCTAAAAACACGGTTAGATTTGGCATATCAAAGAACCCCAATAATTCAATTTTCGATGAAATCAAACAAAGTTTAATTTTGGACCCTTTTGACCTCAATATGAACCAATTTGATAGCGGGGCCTACAAATAAAAAATCTAAATACATGGTTAGATTCAGCATATCAAAGAACCTCATATATTCAATTTTTGTTGAAATCAAACAAAGTTTAATTTTGGACCCCAATTTGGACCAACTTGAAAACTGGGCCCATAATCAAAAATCTAAATACATGTTTAGATTCAGCATATCAAAGAACCCCATATATTCATTTTTTGTTGAAATCAAACAAAGTTTAAATACTGGACCCTATCTTGGACCAACTTGAAAACTGGGCCCATAATCAAAAATCTAAACACATGTTTAGATTCAGCAAATCAAAGAACCCAAAGAATTCAATTTTTGTTAAAATCAAACTAAGTTTAATTTTGGACCCTTTGGACCTCAATGTAGACCAATTTAAAAAAAAGGACTCAAAATTAAAAACCTAAATACACGGTTAGATTTGGAATATCAAAGAACCCCAATAATTCAATTTTAGATGAAATCAAACAAAGTTTAATTTTGGACCCTTTTGACCTCAATATGAACCAATTAGATAACGGGGTCCACAAATAAAAAATCTAAATACATGGTTAGATTCAGCATATCAAAGAACCCCATATATTCAATTTTTGTTGAAATCAAACAAAGTTTAATTTTGGACCCCAATTTGGACCAACTTGAAAACTGGGCCAAAAATCAAAAATCTAAATACATGTTTAGATTCAGCATATCAAAGAACCTCATATATTCAATTTTTGCTAAAATCAAACAAAGTTTAATTTTGGACCCTTTGGACATTAATGTAGACCAATTTGAAAACTGGACCCAAAATTAAAAATCTAAATACACTGTTAGATTCGGCATAACAAATAAATAAATGTGATCAAAGATTTTACAAATCTAATGCGCCATACTGTGCAATTAAAGATTACTTCTTGAAATTTTTCAATATTTGAAATTTGAAAAAAAAATAATATTTGAAGAATAATTCTTTTTAATTTCTGAAATCTGAAATGAGAAAAAATTGGCCCCCCACAATTTCTTTTTATTCCCCCCCCCCTTTTTCCCCCCAAAAAATTCTTTCCCTCAAGATATGGTCATAATCTCAATTCAAATTTCCAATGGAG